ATGTATTCTTTATTCTATAGAAGTGTAGGGTGACACAGAGGCAGCTTTGACAATGTAATTCTATACAAAACAAATATTTATGCTAAGATATTGAAAATTGAAACTCAGCCCTACAGTTTAATTTTCATTTTGAAAGAAATGAATGAAAAGTTTTGAGTTGTTTATTATTGCTTTATTTTTCAAACTTCTTACTGAGTATTTTTTTTCCAAACAAGTATTAAAATACCAAAAAAAATCCTTTTATCATAATTTTGCAAAGTGAATCTAAAAAGTTAAAAATAAACATTGATCGATATCAGAAAGCTACAAATAAATCTGTCACAGGGCCCCGAAATTCAAGAGGTGCCTAGGAGGAGTAGGTATCCCCTGTCGGCCGGTCACAGCCGCAGTGAGCAATGTGTATTAATAACGTAGACGGATAATCCTTAGTAAAATTAAGTATGTGCATGGCCTAACAATTGGTATGAAATACGGCTGTCAAAATACGACGAAATGATAAGTTATATTTGCTAACAAGGATCATAACAAGGTCCTTTCATTAGAAGGGCCATAAGATTTACTTTAAAGAGCTTTTTGAAGCAAGTCTCGGTATATGCCCCATATGACACTTGAACTTGGTTGATGTACATACATTTTGACTAGTTTATCTAGCCATCTGTATGTGTAGCGTATTATCAAACAAGTACTTTAAATCACTGCCATTTTTAATTTTTGTTTGTACAATTCATCATGCAAAGGTTTCAATATCTAATTATAGAGAAGATAAAAATTCTAGAAAATATAACAATACCAGTATCATTGATATTCAAAATACTATATTTTGTCATTCATTTATTAAATAGTAGATAAAATCCCGCACAAGCGTGGGGAATTGAATTTATACCACTACCGACAGATATATATTGTAGTTTCTACCGACAGCCTACAGGCTTATAGCAGGAAGAAATACTTTCAAATTGTTCAAAATCCCACATTTACCTTTGGATCAGAAGTAGATGTACGTCACCATCTCCCTTTTGTAAAAACTTGAAAATAACAATTTCATTCATTGACGTTTATGTGAAGCATGCTAATATACATGTACGATGTTATGGATATTGTACTTCGGGTGCTCTTATTTCATTTCCGTCAAGGAAAAAAAAGCAGCGAATATGCACATTTTAATGATAAATTGATTTTTTGTTGTAAACATTAGCTTTTAACGCCCTATGAATATGCCGAGTATTTGATACAAAAAACTGTAATCGGAAAAAAAACTTGAAATGTATTGATTAAAGCACAAATTTTTAACAGCTTTAATTGTATTTGAACAATACCTTATTCATTAATGTTTTCATTTCATGTAAGCAAATTATTACGAACTACAAATTGTACTTCGTTGTCACTATGCTTTCAGTGAGGAATATATAAATATATATATATATATATATATATATATATATATATATATATATATATATATATATATATATATATATATATATATATATATATATATATATATATATATATATATTCACAACTTATAGTGTTATCAATGATTTACCATTTTTTCGATGACCTTTCACTCAAAAGTTTTTTTTTTCATTCAGTTTTTCTTTTTAACATCGGACTAAATGCTATATGATGTTCTAGAAGTTTCCGTCAATATTAAGATCGGTGAATGTCGGAAATAATTTGCACTTTTCCTTTTTTAATCGGTTATCACAACTTATGTCTTTTATATAATTTTTAAATCAAGTTTTGATTGAATAATTCAGTGATGATGTTTCATGAAATAAATAAACAATTGCTTGTTGTCAGTTTCATTAAAAATTGCCAGTAACTTAGATCCGCCAACCTGAATTGTCAGTTGTCACCATATTCACGTTTTTGCTATTTCATGGCTGTTTATATGAAAGTAGACTTTAAATTTAATGTACGATACTTACTATGCGAGTAAAATCTGAATATAGTTTACGGACAGCATCTTGTTCCAAGTGTATTCATAGAGGAGTTAGTAAGAACTCGCTTGCACCCGTTTCGGAGTTTATTTGCAAATTTTATAAACAAAGATACATAGCGGGTTCCATTAAATGTTCAACGAAGCCTCTTTCTTTACTCCTCACTAAGATATTAACAGTGGTGAAGGAGAAACTTCAAGAGTACTGTGCAACAATATATTCGAGAGGTTGTGTAAATCAGATGTGGATACTTAAAAATTCCAAGGAACTTTTGGAAAATTTGAAATCACAGAATTTTACCAAAATAAACAGCTTAAAAACTTACAACTTTTCAACTTTACACACAACCATTCCCCACGATAAATTAAAGTCCAGGCTTTTTGATATCATTGACAGCTGCTTTTTCAATAAAAATGGAACTCGTAAATATACTTACCTTGTCATTGGTCATTTGCAAAATTATTTTGTTAAAAACATTCTGATTGTACACACAAGTACTCTGAAGTTGACATTAAAAAGATGCTTGAGTTTCTGATTGACAATATCTATGTAGTTTTTGGAGACCAGGTCATCCAACAATCTATTGGAATTCCAATGGGTACCAATTGCGCCCCGTTATTAGCAGACCTTTTTTTGTATTCATATGAAGCAGAATTTGTCCAAAATCTTGTACTTGAAAAGAAGAAAACACTTGCTGTGGCCTTCAACTCGACATTTAGATATATCGACGATGTATTGTCAATTAACAATGGCTATTTCCATTCTTATGTCGATACGATAAATCCTGGTGAGCTTGGGATAAAAGATACCACAGAGTCTGACACATCTATTTCATATTTGGATATTTTACTTGAAAAAGACGTTAATGGTAATCTGAGAACAAAGCTTTATGATAAACGTGATGATTTTAACATTTCAATCGTAAACTTCCCTTACTTATGCAGCAATATACCTTCATCACCTGCATACGGGGTATATATCTCTCAGTTGATTCGATACGCAAGAGCATGCTCTACGTATGTACAATTTCTAAAACGAGGTAAATTATTGACAAACAAGTTGATGAAACAAGAATATCAGCTGTCTCGTTTAAAGTCATCATTTTGTAAGTTCTATGGTCGGTACAATGACCTTGTCAGCAAATACAATTTATCATTGAGTCAAATGCTGATTGACGTTTTTCATACTAATTGTTAGGCCGTTATTTACACACTGAATTGTCGACGGATTTTTCCGTTATTTCCCGATCATGACAAGGTGCACACGGCGGGTGTGACCGGTCGGCAGGGGATGCTCACTCCTCCATGGCATCTGATCCCACCTCTAATGTTTGGAGGTCCGTGTTTGCTCTGCTCCTATTTTGTATTGTTTAATGGACTTTTGAGCTTGAATACTGTTCGTTATCTCCATATATTTCATTAATTCATAATTATAGATTTGAAAAGAATGAAATTATGACTAATACAAGCTTTCGTACATATAGTTCTTGCAGTGTCCTATTTTCTTAGCAGGAAATAAACTCTAACAGGTACTGTGTTAAAGAGAATGGCCACCGCTTTGACTGACAGTTCGTCATTTGAGGATGTAACAGTATGTTCTATTTGCTTTGAGAAATTTAAAACTCCCCGATATCTACCGTGTTCTCATTCCTTTTGTCACGACTGTTTATCGTCACATATTGTTAGTTTGTGTAAATCTACGGACACAAGATTGGGTTTTAATTGTCCATTATGTAGAGAATTCATTGCTGTTGTCGGTCCCTTTGATAAACCAGCGGAATGGGCAGGATGTTTCCCTGTGAATGAAATACTGGAGAAAATTCTTAAAAGTCCAGACCAGAAACTTTGTGATCCTTGTTTGAGAGAAAACGAGGAGGAAGGCGCGTCTGATTTCTGTTTATCTTGTTTGGAGTTTTTGTGCAAGATTTGTACAAAATGCCATAGAAAACTTCTGCTGTCAAGAGGCCACAACGTATACCCCTTGGATCAGATCAAATCGCAACATATACAACGCAGCTAGGTTAAGGACTCCCATATATACGTCAGCCTATGCAGAGGTTCGGTAAAGCTACTATGACGTCACGTTAAAACAATACAAATGAATCTCGATGAATAAATACTATATGTTCTTTTTAAAACACATTAAATACTTTCGTTTATCATAAATATTATAAAGATAAATGGATGTGCAACTTATCTTGCCATAATACCACTTAGCGTATGTAGAATGAAAGCCAGCTTGATCTCGCTGTACTTACTGAGATGACGTCATTTCTTAGTTTGACACGCAGTTTCTCTGTACTTGAGGCGTGGATCAAGCTTTTATCGTAGCTTGTAAAAATAAAAATAAATACGAAACACGCGTAGTCGGACCAAAAGAGAGAAATATTCTGAAATATGTTAATCCACATTTTATTGTCAAACTAAATTGATAATGTGTAGACTTTATATTAGGCCATAGGGAGCACATTTGTACAGTAACATGCTAGAATGACAGGTCCAGCCCCTCGAAAATATCAAAAGTTCAACGATATCCGCTTCACTATAAATTCTGAATTTTTAAACACGTGTAGCTATTATCCCTACTATTCTGAAAAGTGTTGGGAGCTGGTTGTGCATTGTTGATTTATTCCGTAATGTAACATTATTCCAATGCGAATTACATTTTTGACTGGAGTTTTTAGAAAGACGGCTAAATTTTAAAGAATTCCCGAGCATGAGGAAGTTGCTCCCAGCACTTTTCGTGTTAAGGAATTTGTCTCAAGGAAAACAGAATAAATTTTATAGCGGAAAAATGCCCGTATATCGTTGAACTTTTACGATCTTTGTAGTAGTACATATATGTTCTAATTTTAAAACTGTCACGTGACAAACAGCTGATGTAAGCTATGTCGTTTTGTCCGAAGTCAGCAGAGACCCGATATATACAAGTGCAAACACCACATATCACATTTATCAAAACTAATGCTGTTAAAAAAAATATTAAAATTGTATTCATTTTCCCTGAATATATTAAGGCGTATATTTCATGGGCGTCCTTAACCTAGCTGCGAATCAATTTTAGGAAAAGATGACTTTTGCAAAAAGCATCAAGACCATAAGTTGAATCTCTACTGTTATGGACATGAACAGCCATGTTGCATTATCTGTGTTGGAATGGAGCATAGACAATGTGATTCTGTTGAAGCGGTTGAAAAGGCTGTAGAAACGTATAAATCAAGTGGCAAAATTGATAGCATGGTAGAAGATATAAGAAGTTTTAGAAAGAAATTAATAGACGCAAAAGACGGACAAGAGAGGAATATTACGGAACTAGAAGACACCTTAGACAAAATCACAGAAGAAACTGAAAAAGAAATAAACAATGTTATTCGTCTCATTGAAAGATTGAAAAGTGAATATTTGAATGAGTTTTCTGCTGTTGTCAAGAAAGGCAAAGAAATGCTAACCAGAAATGTAGTCACTTTCAATGATGGGATCCAGTTTGCTGACTTTTGTTCTGACATGCTTGAAAAAGCTAAAGAAAAAGATGATTCTACCTTTATGAAAAAATGTTGTGCTGCAAATAAGTCATTTCAGCAATTGAGAAGCACTAGATTTAGAACGAGGGTAGTGCGAATAATGGTTAAAAAAGAACCTATTTTGAAAGAAGTAGAAAAAATTAAAACATTGGCAACCATTGAGGTCAGTGAGATTTTTCACGACATCAAAAGTGACATCTTTGATTTGGAGAATGTGCAGTTACACTTAGTTACTAAATTTAACATCAATGGAGGATGTGTGCGCAATGGAACTTTTCTTTTAAACAAATCATTTATATTTTCTGATGGAAAAAATGGGAAATGTTGTTATGGGGAACTCTCGAAGAAGGAATGGAAATTGATTGGAGACATAGGATCTCTTTATGATCCTTTTGGCATATTGCAAAAAGGAAATGAATTGTTTGTGACATGCAAAATTACAAAATCTATTGAAGTGTTTTCTATATCTGATTTCAAGAGAGTGAGAAGCATCAACCTTGATTTTGAAAGCTTTGGGATATCAGGTTGGAAGGAAGACTTATACTTGGCATGTGGCAGCAAGATTGTTAAAATAGATAAGTTTGGTAACGAAATAAAGAAATTTGATACAGCAGGCTCTTCTGCTTTTCATATTCTTGTTGCAAAATCTGGAATTATTGTGTATACTGACTGGAAGATTAACAAAGTAAGAGCCATAAGTGAACAATGGGATACTGCCTGGGATTATACTAGTCCCGAACTAAAATGTCCTTATGGATTGGAGAGCGATTCACTGGGAAATATATATGTTGCTGGTATGCATAGTAATAATATCCATGTGTTATCAAATTCTGGTAAACTCTTTGATTTTCCAAAATCTCAAAAGTCCAGTATTTTTGAAAATTGCCAAGGAAAGAAATGAATGTTGCATATGTAGCGATTACAAAACCCTAACTTTTTACGAAATAAAATGATAAGCTATTTACTTGAGTTATGCTTTTTAAGTCATGTTGACATGTATTCATCAGCCACTTACTTAATGTTTTGAGTGTAAAGACTGATAAAAAGGGGAATCTTTTGTACCATATAAATCGTTCTGTATTGATGGGGTGTGAAAAAAAGTTGTAGATATTTTGATTTTTGCTAATTAATGAAAATATATTTATAATCATATTCTGGATTGAGATCAAAATAAGCAATATGCTTAATATTTTTTCTATTGTTTGTAGGCTATTTGTAATTGTATTATTTTTGTAAAGCGGTATGCACCTGAAAGTATTGTAATACCAATTTTTCATATGCCTTCTGTATTACTGCAGACCAGTTAAACCTGATCTTTTTGCACCTAAAAAAAAAGATTAGATATTGATTTAAACTAGTGTTGTTTTAAAAATATCATTATCATGACAATACTCTTATGTAAATAAACGCTCAAGGATAGTCTTAATAGTTTTAGTCAGATGATAAAGAACAATCCTACGTCAAGGAGTCTAAAATATGAACCCCGATCTTTTTGCACTTGAAGATAAGAAAAGAACTGCGAACGATAGTATTGTTCCCCCGCCTACCTCCAAGTCAATTTTCAAAAGTTAAGATATTCGAATGATTTTGAATATTTATATTGATATTTATATGGATTTTCATAAAACATTACTTCTTTGGGAAAACAACGAGAGATAACTCTAAAATTTTGGTAGAAGTCGTGTTTTTCACTATAGAAATCAACGGAAAACGGAAAATATTTTTAAAACGTCTCCCCCCCCCCCCCGTGAAACAAAAATTCCTTTTTACGGGTAATATGGACTGTCATTTCACAAATTCATACCAAAGCTTTTTGTGTTTCACGGGGGGGGGGGGGACATATGTTTATATACAAAAAACGACAAAAATGCTTATTTTTTCAGCAATTTCCAAGTGCTTTACAACTGAAACATTATATTTTACTAATATATATGCTTAATTTTATATGCATAAAACATAAGAAAAAGATTTAAGAAACATTTATTCATATCCAAGACTATTTCAGAATATGGTGATGTTTTATAGCCCGATTTCAGTGGAAAATATCGTCTACCCCCCTGATTTCAAGAGCTGGAATTAGGGATATTTTACTATTTGGCACTGGAATTAAAATAATTAATCAATTACCATTGAACTGATCTTTGTATTAAACAAAGATTTTATGGCCAAATCGTCATCAATATTGAATTAAATGGTTGTAAAATGTAGGCGGGAGTCGGGAGTTACCGTGCGTAGTTCTTTACCATGAACAAAGTATGATTTTACATTCCAGTGAAATAGTAACATGAGTATTCATGGTAGTGCCTTTAATTTTTTTTCAGGTATATTATTGCTATATATCTTATTTTGTATATCTAATATCAAAACATGGGTTACATTTCATTGTTTCAGCTTACTGAGGTTATAAATAAATAAAAAAAAATCAACTTATTTTTCAAGAGATTTTTTTTTGAGAGGAGGGGGTGTACGCCATGACTATTTTAATAAAACATGTTTTTTAAAATAAATTCCTTAAATCAAATTCAATTTTTTATTCTTTATCTGATACCTGAAAAAATAGTTGTGAATAACAAGCTTCTTTAAATTTATGAAATATTTCACAATGACTATAAAAATAAAATTAGAGATACTGTGAACAGGGAGCTTTAGAAAATGTTAACCCCCCCCCCCCCCTGCGCTCCAAAATGAGTATAATTGCAAAGTCTGTGCGATGAGGAAGACCCAAAATATAAAGCAGGAATTGCATGAAGACACCATGTAGTGAAGATTCTGTGAAAGTCTCTTTAAATTTTATTCAGTTTTATGAGAGGAGTATCGAATAAGGGATTGGTATCCCCAATATTATAGAGAGAATGGCAGTCTCCATGTTTTGTAATGGGAAAGCTCAGATATATGTCCGATCAAAACATCTACTTTTATTTAGTGGTATTGGAGGAGTTGTGAGCAAGAGATAGGTACCTCTTACATTAAAGAAAGAATGGCAACGTCCATGATTTGCTATAAGAAAGTTCAAATATGTATCAGATCAGAAAGTGAAATAGGAGGCCACAATGACACTACGTAGTGAAGATTCTGTAAAAGTCTTATTTTTTTAATCAGTGGTATAGGAGGAATCGGATGGTGGATACAGCTAAGACGGACAAACGTGCAGAGAGATGGACAGACGGACACCCCTATCACTACACACCCCTCCGTTTCTAGCAGGGGGTATCTCAAGCAAATTTGGATGCAGTTTATGTTTGAAATCCTTTCAGCAAAAAATACCTTTCAAGAAAACTCCTTTAGAAAGCAACTTAGTTTCTATCATTCGGTTGTATACATGCTTAAGCAAACCTGTCTTGCTAATTGATAATATTGTCACATCGTAGGATATGTTCATCCATATTCAACATAAATGAATACTGCATTTTTATTACATTTTCAACAATGAAATTCTATAATTTATTTATTAATTAAAAATGATATTTTGTCACAATGTAAAAAAAAAAATATCAAAGTGATACTTTGTCACACAGTCTGAAAGAATATCTGACGTGCGGCAAAACTCTTGATATTCCTTCCCTTCACGAAGAGTGTTGTAAAAATTACTTCATGATCTGCTAGAAGATAAAGAGAGTAAATAAACCAGAGATAAAACTGCCAAGGATTCCCCAGATATGTTTACATTACATGTATATGTTTTCAACCTCACAATCGCTGAGCTCTGACTTCTCAACCGCTTTATTATAACGTCATAGCCGATGACACTGTGTTATGAAAAGAAAGAGAAAGGGAAACCAAAGAAAATGTAATAAACAGCTGCAGAAAATTCAATATGTTATGTAGTTGTATGTGTAATTCATTTCACTCGTGATACAGGATTTTTGATATTTTCACTCGCGCTTCGCACGCATGAATGAATTGGCTGTGCAAATGCACGAGCTTAGCTTTTTTATCATTTATTTAAATGAATTAATTCAAATTCAAAGAGATTTATTCAATATATTTACAGTTAAGTATGCAATATCATCACCAGTTAAGTATGCAATATCATCACCAGCCCTTGAACTGTTCAACATCACTTCATTCCAAGGACCCCCACCAAGTATTATGATTTCTTATTGAGGTTTTTATTGAGGCTTATTCTCAAAAAATTATATATTAATAATCAAAATTTTCTGTGTAGAAAGACACATCTCACCCTAGCTGCCATTACCCCTCATAAGCATTGCCGTTGAGTGGATGACCAGACACCATTTTTGTTTACGATTGCGTGATCGATATTGAACGCTCGCATTCAGAATGTTTCGGGACGTATTCGTATACATTGGCAGATTATTATTATAGACTATTTATTAGCTATTTAATAAATATAGGTTTTGTAAGCAGCGCTAGTTAGTAAAACTTGAGTTCCTTTTTTCATTTTCAAGAGACATGAGGTGGCTCTTGAAAATTAAAACGAATAAGGAAAAAGAGTTTGATTTTCAAAAAAAGGCTACTAACAGTTAGGATGTAGGTCTCTAGTAATTCAATATACCTAGATGATCTGTCGAATGAAATACTGTTAATCTATTTTTATTCGCTGGAACTTTATTTTTGCCTAATTACACGAGAAGGTATGCTCGCCAAAATTTCATTCTTGCGTGTACTTTTATTAGTATAGATTATATACAAGGAAACCGAATTGAAAATTTTGTCTCGCTAAAAGAATTAATGCATATTTAGCGAAAATAAGATGTAAAAATTTGATAATGTACAGTAGACTGGAGAAAAGTTCGAAGATTATAAAAATGAATGTAGATGTAAACAGACATAAACTTTACCTACATTTTATATCCCATTGTTTGTGTTTTGTATGAGTTATGAGTTTTTTATTCCCGAGCCTTGGCAACGAAGTGAATAAAAATGATATTCAAACACAAACCAAGGGAGATTCTTTATAGACAGATGATGCTCACTCCTTCATGGGACCTGATCCCACCTCTGATGTCTTAGAGGTCCGTGTTTGCTCTGCTCCTATTTAGTAATGTTTAATGGACATTTGAACTCGAATACTGTTCGTTAACTCCACATATTTCATTTATATCTATATATTTTTTAAATTGCTATCGCATTTTTTACATTGTTTATATATGAGTCTTTTTGTCTTCAATACTTTCAGGCAAAAACCGTCGTTGCTTCACAACTTGATAACGACATTATGTAATATCTACTGTATAAAGTAGTAAACATGTGATAAACATTTTTCTTTATGCACATCACAGGAAACGTATGTTGTTAAAGAGTGTATTGATAAATGTCTCAAAGATTGTCATCTTTTTAATTATTTAACCATCGGGACGGCAAATTATACATAGCTTAAGAGTATATAGAAGAAAAAAAAATTCTTAGATCATCATCTGTTTTAGTGATTTCATTCAGACAACGCCTTTTAACTGTTACGTGTGCATTCTCAGTCTAAAATGAAAAATATTAGTCACCACTATATGACCCTGACATTATACAAAGACACAGAACTGATGGAGGTTGGTGTTAAATGAACACTACAAATCATGAGACTGTAGACAGGAAGTATGACGCGAAACAAAGTGTCACAAAATGAAATGGTATGTATTAATCTCTGGTGGACATGTTTTTGGATTTTGATTGGTTAAATATGTTTTTAAAATAACACCGGAAGAAGTTTCATTTATGCAAAATAAAACGTAAACAAATATTTTATTTATTTATTGCAATATTTAAAAACTGGAATTGGAAGAATAAATTTCCAATTTTTGGGTGACGTTGTTAACAAATAAAACCTATCTACCTGACGTATTTCATACTAATTATCAGGCTTTTGTTTTTACATTAAGTTTGACTGCGGAATGTTCGTTTTACCTGATCAATACATAGGGCTCACGACAGGTTTGACCCCTCAACAGGAAATGCTTTCTCCTCCTAGGCACCTGATCCCACCTCTGGAATTTCCAGGGGTTCGGGTTTTATGCCCTGTTTACAGATTTGTATTGCTTGTAATTTTTATTTCAAATCGATAATTGTTTGTTATCTTCACCTTTTTCTTTTCTGTTCTTCGTGTTTGTACCAATTAAAAACTAAAATGAAT